ATTGCAAGAGTCAGCGTATCGAGTTGCTTCCTGATAGTTAATGTCCCCTAGACATGACAGGTAAAAGGCACTCAACAATGTGGTTGACCATAAGAACGATACCAGCTGACATGTCAACACAGAGAGGAAAAATCCCACCAAGTGTTAGGAACAAGGTCTACCCATAGATGAGGAGATACGACTGGTCCACAGCTGCTGAGAAAGGAATCCATTTCTGCCAGGGACATGCTTGGTCATAGGTTGTCTAATTCTAAGTGGCCAGCTCTGAATATGTGTATATACAAAACGATAGTAAAGAAGAGGCTATGAATTGGGGAAGGAGGGAGGGGGAGACACAGGAGGAGCAGGAGTGATGTAAAAGCAATGCCCATGTGCGAAGTTCTCAAAAACAATAATAATAAAATAAAGCATCCTAGCCTCATCCCACCAGTTCTATTTCGACAGCCTCTCTTCTAGGAACCCATCCAAAAATAACTGAAAAATTTTGTGTGCAAAGATGTTCAGCCTGGTATTACTTAAAATGAAGGCATTTTTAAAGGGCAGTTTCAAAGTTAAGAAACAGAACGGCAGCTTAAGTAAATCTATTTTATAGGATAGTATACAACTTGAAATTTACATTGTATCAAAATTATAGTAATGTGGTAAATGCATATACCGCTAGGCAATAGAGTCAGAAAAGAACATTTTATGTGCATAAGCATCATGTTAAAATCGAGCCTGTGAGGTAGCCGAGAGGGTAAAGGCTACTCTCACCAAGAGGATAACTTGGCTTCTATAAACTAGAACACACATGAGATGAGAATTTCTACAAGTTATCCTTTGACCCCACACATGCACCGTGGCGCACATATACTCTCATCTTCAACCCATACTAAATAGACAAATATTTGAAATGAAGTTAGGAAAAGAAAAGGTTTAAGTCTTAATTCCAGCACTTCAGAGACAGGCGGATTTCCATGAGTTTGAGGCCATCCTGGTCTACAATGTTCTAGGATAACTACACACAGAGAAACCCTGTCTCAAAAAAAAAAAAAAAAAAAAAAAAAGAAAAAGAAAGAAAAAAGTATGTCAGAATAGAAAGAACAAAACAAAAGGGCAATATATAAATCATGTAAAAAGTGTTTTAGGTTGTTTCCTATTTTCTTTTTCTTCTGATGTCCATCCTCTTTGCCTTTCTCAGAACCTGCTACAGAGGGCCTCTGAAAGCCAGAAGAAAACAGGAAACAACCTTGGAACCTGCCACAGAGGGCCTCTGAAAGCCTCTGCAGTATAGACTGTCAAAGCAGATGCTGAGCCTGATGGACAACTGATGGGCAGAGTGAATGGAATTTTATGTAAGAAGTGGGAAATAGTAAGAGCTGGAGGGGACGGGAACTCCACAAGGAGAGCAACAGAACAAGATAATTTGAACACAGGGAACTTCCCAGAGACTCATACTCCAACCAAGGACTATTCGTGGAGATAACCTAGAACCCCTGCACAGATGTAGCCCATGGCAGTTCAGTGTCTAAGTGGGTTACATAGTAATGGGAAGAGGGACTGCCTCTGATATAATCTGATTGGCCTGCTGGTTGATCACTCCCCCTGAGGGGGGAGCAGCCTTACCAGGCCACAGTAGAGGACAATGCAGCCACTTTTGATGAGAACTGATAGACTAAGATCAGAAAGAAGAGGAGAACCTCCCCTATCAGTGGACTTGGGGAGTGGCATGCATGCAGAAAGGGGAGGGAGGGTGGGATCGGGAGGGGAGGAGGGAGGGGCTTATGGGGGGATACAAAATGAATAAAGTGTAATTAATAAAAAATTTTTAAAAAAGTGTTTTAGAAAACAATTTACTCCCTGCTAATTTTCAAAAAGGGGCCTTTCCTATTGTTCTCCTTTTCATTTAATTTTGTTATGAGCTAAGATTTATTTTTTAGAAGGTTTACCAACAAAGTCTACAAGATCTTTGCTTAAGAGAAAACATGTCCTGACACATAAAACCTCAGTGAAAGATGGTTTTACATTTACAATGTAAGACTTAATTTAGGATCCCAATCTGCCTATCATTCATTCTCTAGGCATGCTTTCCCTCACCTAAAATCTACTCGTGAACAGCTATCAACACTCAGACAAATGGTTGCCATCATAAGTTTACCTGGGTAAGAATTTTGCCTCTCAAATCTTATGATAGTCCCTCCTACCATAGAGGAGAAAACTGTCCTGTCTTTTCATAAACAGATGAGAAGCTATGGGGCTGATCCTAAGAGATGCAAATGGACTGGTTTGGGATTAATTAAAGAGACACAGTGCTGGGCAGGTATTTCCTGCAAGGATTTACTCAGGGAGAAAGTCCCTCCCCGGGGTTGGTTGGCAGCATCCTTCAGCAGTAGCCCAGATAGGAAAGAGGGCAAAGGGTGCTTATTTTGAGCTGCCTACCCTCACTCCTAAAGCCACTCTGTTATCTTGCCTCAGCTGTCATCGTTTGCTGACAATGGAATCCAGATCCATCGTCCTTCCAGTGAGGACTGAAGGCCAGTGTCTCTCCAAGATCAGGCTTTCAGCATCAGATGGGGACTGTCTAGACTGAGGCTGCCAAATGGCTGCTGGGTTCTGAACCTTTCTCCAGCGTGAAGACAGCCATTGCTGTGTGACCCAGACCACACATGTAAGCCAATCTAAAAATTTCTTTTTAAACCTTACCAATCCTGTTAGTTTCTGTTCCTCTAGAAAACCCTGACTCACACAGCATTTTTTTCACTCGTGTGCAAAATTTGCGCTTGAACACACACAGACACACCATGAGAACAGAAGGAGCACTATTTGGGGGAAAGAAGAGAACCATAAGAATTGGGGAGGAGAGACTAGAGAGGTCCTTGTGGAGCACTAAAATGGATATGGTAATACATATTGTGATGGTTTGAATAAAAATGGCCCCCATAGGCTCATGGCATTGAATGCCTGGTCATTGGGGAGTGACACTACTTGACAGAAATTAGGAGATGTGGCCTTGTTGGAGGAAGTTTGTTGCTGGAGGTGGGCTTTGGGGTTTAAATGCCAAAGCCAGGCCCAGGGTTTTCTGCTTCTTCTGCTCCCTATGGCTCCAAATGTAAAACTCTCGCCTCCCTCTCCATCCCAAGTCTGCCTGCATGCCACCATGCTTCCCACCATGATGATAATGGACTAAACCTCTAAATATAAATAAGCCCTAATTAAATGTGAAGAGAGCCATGGCATCTCTTCAAAGCAATAGAGCTCTGGCATCTATGTGAAAACGCCATGACGATGCCCTTATTTTGATCATTAATTGAAAAACATAATAAAATAGTAAAAAAGAAAAATGCTATTTAAAACAGGTGCCTAGATACAACATTTTGATTCTAAATAAACACTAGCAACAAAAGCCCATCTGTAGAAATCAACCTGCAGTATTTCCAAATAAACCATCAAAGACTATATCACTGTTTACAGTAAGGCTGAAACAGCAATAAAAATTTCAGGCTACAGAGCTACTTGGTTTAAATATTGCCTTCCACACATACGAGCAGAATAATACTGAACAAAGCTTCCTGTCTTTGTTGTTTCCAATCAGAAACTGGAGTTACTACATCAGTTCACTTATAGCCTTTGATAAAATGTAACTCACACTGTTTTAAGTTTAATTCAAAAACCACAAATATTGTATGAGTCATACCCTGTGTGGCAGTCACCTTTGCCCTTCCCCAAGTACCATCATGTCTACAGGAGCATTTATCAGCATAGCTTCTAGCCAAGTTAATCAAGGGGATGCAGAGACCCCACTGTTTTTCCCTACAGTGTGGTTTTTCCATGGGTCACTGATGGGCTAGAGTCTAAGAGGCAAACAAACGAACAAGAAGAAGCAAAAGATCAAATCCTTCCTCAAATAAATAAAATAAAAGTCCTCTTGTGACAAACTGGAAATTACCACTCTTTGAAGGCTGATTCATAACAATAGCGTTCCATTCACACCATTACCCAGTGATCTGCTGGGCTCTGGAGTTTCTCATGGCTTGCTTCGTTCCAGCACCACTTAAAGCACTATGAACATGTAGGCCCACAGCTCTTTCCTTCTTCCTCCCACACTCACCACCCCAGTGTATCTCTTCACTGTCATCCTTCCCAGGATTACCACATACAAAGGCTTCTCTTTCTCCAGTCCCCAACCAACTCAGATTAAGGTAATACATCCAACACAGAACCCTAGTGACATGGGCCTGGAGATGATTACCCTGGGCCTTGAGGTCTGGGTTCCTTCAGATACCTGGTTCTGAGATGGACAGCACTCCTTAAAACTTGTACTGTCCCTCACAGGGCTGTGATGTGACCCAGGTAAGCTCCTTTCCTACTGTTCTGCTCACAGCTTCATCAGCCCTCAGCCTTAGCCCATTCTGACCAACATCCCTGGATGCACAGCCCAGTCCCCAGGTCCAGAGCTTGCCCTCACAGGACTGGCTTACTCATACCAGTCACCCCAGACTCTTCTCTCTCGATCTAGAACAACCTTATAACCTGTACTAACTCTCTGTGAGTTATCCACTTCTCTCCCAACCTCCCCAATGTTTTCCCTCAGAACGAGGAACCTCCACCCTATCCTGCCCAGGAGCCTGGTTATTAGCAATTCTGCCTTGGTGCTGTGGAACCAGTTTTTACAGCATCCATCTTATCACCCCCAACCAGCCTAGGCTCTGGTTGCAGGTCTATTTCTGACCTGTTAATATTTTGTCAATGATTGGGCAAAGGACAGAATGCATTATAGCTATCTCTCAGGAGTTATCAAAAGCATCCTGAAAATTCCAAGCTCAGAGATTGCCAAAGCATCCCAGCATCAAAACAGCCATATCAAAAACTTCATGAGATAAACAGAAACATGATTGATTCTATTTTAAAATTTCCGGAACTTTCTATTGTTTTAGAATAAAGCAGCCCAAGATAGGAAATGTTTTGTTTAACTGCACGGACCCTTCAGCCAGGTTTCTGTCTGGCTCCGCGGACAAGCCTACCTCAAACCACTGCCCGTGGGACTGCATCTTGAGGATGACGCAAGGGTCCGGCTTGGACAGAGCATCCCTGTCAGAAATGCCCTTGCAGGCCACACGCAGCTCGACTTTGGTCAAGCAGGGGCTGTTAAAGATCCCCAGCGTGTTGGCAGCCGACTCATAAATGTTGCTCATCTTCTTCATTCTGTGTTAGGAAATAAAAAGAAAAAAGATAATAATAATGACGCGCCAGTCACTGCGATATTTTTTCAAAAGAGAAAGCTCCCTTCCCGCTCCCGTAAACGGATCTGTGTGTTCAGCAAACAGATTTGGATGTTGAAAGTCTTTATTATTTCACTTTCCAACTGACTAGCAGTTTCAGCAAAGCAGATAACAAACCACCCTCCCCACCACCACCAAAATAAAGCTTCCCAAACAGATGCTGGCACACTTGGCTAAAAACACCATCCTCCTGTATCGTTCGCATAGTAAAAATTTTAATCTGTGAAATAAAGTTAATGAACTTGGTGAGACAGAGCGCAAAACGCAATCCAAATGTATATTCAGTGTAAGAGTTCCGTGAATTTTTTTTTTTACTGATCTCTTGGCTAATTAATTTTTATCACATCTCATTTACTATTTTTAATTACTATTGTTCTATGTCATGTGTGTCCGCAAGCACAGGCGCGTGTGTACCATGCCACATGCGTAGAGGTCAGAGGGCAACCTCGTGGAGTTGGTTCTCTCCTTCTATCTGTGTAGATTCGAGAAGTAGAACTCAGATCACCAGGCTTACATAGCGAACACCTCTATCCACAACCCCATCTCACTGCCCCCTCTGTCTTTTAAACTCTAACTCTCCTCCATTACAGAGAACTCTCCTGGCTTGTCTCAGAAGGAAATCTAAGTTTCTCACCTCTAAACTCTGGCTTGCCTTCCCAAGATGCCCTTACAAGCCAGCACCCAAGGGAATGCCAGCGTGGTTTCTCTCTCGCGCGCGCGTCTAAGTCTACTCTTTCCTTACCTTCTAGACTACCAGTTGTCACACCAGAACTCAAAACCAAAGGGGGGAAAGGAGGAGGCAGAAACAAACATAGAGCAAATAAATCCACAAAGCCTGATTCCGAACTCCTGGAAACGTCAGCTATGGGTCTGTCTGCACGCGGCTTCCCTCCAGTTCAACTCCATGTCTTTCACGGTAACACGGTGCATTGCTCAGGCTGAAGACACTGTCCTCCTCTGAACAGAGCAGGCCTGTCAAGATGCTGGAAGACACACTAGGGAAAACAGCCCGGCAGCATGCTCTGTGCTTCTGGTTTCCGCAGAGAGCCAACAATGGCTTCCTGATCTTCACGTCTTACAGTGAAATTTCTCCTGTAAACTTGGGACAGTTTCTCCCTGTCTCCTTCCTTTATACCGTAAGTATTTAGTTTCTCCCTATTGCTAAGGTCATAATAGTTCAAATGAGCACAATGGGCCACCTCTTTCACAGGATACTGATTACACCTCAGACTTAAACATACACACACACACACACACACACACACACACACAAACAAACACACAAAACCTACTACTTGTACAGAGAAAACATGAGCACACAAACTCACACCAGTCAAGTTCCAGTGAGATGCAGAAATACACATATTACTTACTTGCTATCTGTGGTTACTTTTACTCCAATAGCTGAACTGAGTAGCCGAAATAGACACTGCAGGGTCAGCAAAGGCCAAAACATGTACTATGTAGTCGGCAAAGACGCGCCATCCCCACCTCTAAAAGGTCAGGTTGAAGTGTGATGGGGGAGAATTGCCATCCTATTATTTTTTTTTTTCAAATGTGTTAGTTCAAGAACGAGAGCAACTCTGTCTTCTACCAACTGAACAGTAATAAGGACTGTGGGACATTTGTTTTTTACATATTAGAGGAGCTGAGCTCAGAGAGGGTTGGCTGCCTGCCCATGTTGCAGCATCATTCTAATGGCAGGGCTGGAGCTTCAATGCCAGCTTTCCCTCTGCCTGCCCAAAACATGCAGAACCTTCACTGTAGAAACGTCCAAAACCTACCAAGGCACGATGAACATGACAAATATCCTTGGCTTGTGTCAGCCCCCACACTCATACTTCCTCTCTGTCTCAAAATAACTGGTAATCAAATATAGAAAATGAGCAGGTTGTAAACCCAAGACTTACTAAATTACGACCCCCCCCCCGTCTTGGTACAAATTGTGAGCAGCCTGAGTGCTAGAGCATGCCTGAACAGAATGAAGACCCTGACAAAGCAAATGGGGGAAAGAACCACCTAGGATGAAGGCGGCTTGTGCATAGACAGGGTGGGGAGTATGCGGTGTACGTTGCCAGGTTTTAGCAGGTCAGAGTCATCCTAAACTCCTGATTCTCCCAATGCGCTCATGGTTCCTTCCGGTCCATGGCGCTCTTCTGCCATTCTGGTAGCCCCTCCTCTCTCTTGGAACCACCCCCACTGTCCCTTCATAGTATCACACCGGTCCTTTTCCGGATGTGCAGCTTCCACAAAGAATAAGCAAGCTTCTCCCAAAGAGAGGAACATCTTCTCTAATGCCAGTCTTCTACTTAAGATTTGTTTATGTTTATTTTACGGGTATGAGTCTATTGCCTGGTGTACATAAGTACACTCTGTGTGTGTGTGCGTGTATGTGTGCGTGTGTTGCCCATGGAGACCAAAAGAAGCTCTAGATCTCCTGGAACTAGAGTTAGGGACAATTGTGAGCTGCCATGTGGGTTCTAGGAACCAAACTCAGGTCCTCTGAACGAGTAGCAGATGCTCATATCCCCTGGGTCATTCTACTAACTCCTCTAATGCCAGTCTTGATGATGATGCATAATGTAAAAGACTCTTTCGAAGAGAAGAGTAGTTCCAGGTTGGACTCCTTAAATCCTAGCTCCTCCACTCACTGTGGAACCCTGAACAGGACCCCCAACCTGGTAGTAGCTCCCACCAGGAAAAAGCTCTGTGAAGAACATATGAAACAATGTATGTCCAACGGTTTGTACAATTTTGGGCACATAGTAAATGCTCTCAGAGTTTCGGCTATTATTCTCGTATTGTCTGACTTCTTGCAAGACACAATCATTCTCCTGCTGCTTGGAATGTCTAAGATTTCACCCTATTATTTTAAAAGCAAAGCTCAACTCACTCCTGTAAAGTCCTTTTGCCTTTGGAGTCCAAAGTTATCAGGGCCTATTTCCCTCTAAAAGCTCTCGGCCACTTCTCCACTCAGTGGTTCACCAGAGAAGCCACACATAGCATGGGCTATGATTGCTCACAGGTTCGCAAAAAATGAGAAAATGATGCTGTCCGCTCTTCTAATTTTGTGGACCTGCATTTTCAGCTTGATAGGACAGGTCATTTATCCTCCCATCAGTGTTCTTTCTAAAGCAGCAGCTGGCTCTTAGAAATCACATATGCCCTGGAAGTCATCTCCTGGGCCATATGACAGATGGCCACGTGCCTGTGTGCATGAGGGGTCAGATAGGAACTGCATGAGTTCCACAGTGCAGATGGTTCCATGGGCTCATCTTCCCTCCGCTTGCTATTTGCAGATTACTACAACACATTTTCCCCCACATGTCCAGCGGGCTTCATGCAACAACAAATAGTTTCAATTACCCACCTCCATAAATGAAAACAAACAAACAAACAACAACAAAAACCTCGGATTGAATATAATACAGTTATGCAGATAAGAAACCACATGGGTTGTCAGAGGTGACACACATCTGCTTCTGGTAGGAGGTTCCCCATCAGCCATCTTACCTGCTTTAAAATGGTAGCAATCTAGCCATTCTGAGGACTGTGCAAGAAAAACCGCAAAACAGCTTTAGAGCTCATGGAAGCAGCTTCCCCAGTTAGCACAACTATGATGGATGTGCCTCAGAGAGGAAGAACCCCAAAGGACTACGTGTCCTGAGGACTTCATGTTGTTACGGGGCATCGCTCTGCTTGTTGCGCTTGTGGTCAATTCATCCTTCATAATATATATAGGTTGTATGAAAACTCTAAGGAGGCTTCCAGCCCCTCACTGGACAGTATCATTAGCATTTATAGTAACAGTTATTGATCTTTTTCAAGCATTGCTGCTGGAGCAGATTAATGATTCCACCACCACCCTTGGAGAGAACTTAGAGATATAGATCATTAGCAATGACCACTACCCTTAGAAAGAACTTGGAAAAATAGATTGTTTAATAAGGTTAGGTTAAGATATTTTTGTCAGTGGCTCTGATGTAGAAAATCATGAGGAACAATTTGAAGTTCAGAAAGGTACACTCTTAATGAAGGCACACTCAAAAAGCTAGGGACTTTTAGAGGTTAGGGAGCAAGAACAATACCCAAATTAGCACTGGCTGACGTGACTCTCTCACTGAAGCTGGGCTGGGGCTCAAAGTGATGATTAATTTCTTGTACCCATTTTTGGCCTCATCTTCCTTATAAAATTTAATAAAAACTGTTATTGAGTAGATGTGCAGTTTGAGGATTTAAGGTAGAAATAACGGGTTGTTTTTTTTATATAAAAGTTTAAATTTGTGATTCTTTTAAGATTTTTATAAGATTGCTTTTCAAGATAAATAATTAAATAATTGATTCTTTGTAACCAAAAATCGAAGCCTGCCAGTAAATGGAAACTGGCTGAGAAAGTTACCTTGCTTGCTTAGACTTTGTTAATCTATAACAAGTTTCTTAATTACAAATGCATGCAGGTTCTTGGGAATACTTTGTTTTTCAAGATTTGGTTTTCATTTATAATATGTAAAACATTTGCTCATGTGAGGGTATAGGGGAACATGTTTTTCTCTACATATACTCATCATAATCATTCACTTAAAGAAAAACAGAATGTAACCACATTGTGAGTTTATGTTGCTTGAAAGATTTTGCTGGGATATATAAGGTGGGAGAAAAAATAAAATTGTTGGAGCTGGGTCTTTGGAGTTTGCTTCATCCACCCAATGTATGAATGTATATGTATGTATGTATATGCATATATACATGTATGTGTATATATGTATGTTATATATGTATATGTGTGAAATTGTTGCAGCTTGTTGGAGCTCATCTTGCTTCATCCATCTAGTGTGTGTGTATGTGTATGTGTGTATGTATGATTCTTTTCCTCCTTTTTTTTTTCTTTTCTTCAACAGCCACAGACTCCTCTTGCTGGAAACA